TAAATAAAAATAGATTTGTGCAGTGAGCATGTTAGAATTTTTTAAAGTCCATATTAGTTTTAATCCTCTAGCTTTTCTTGGCTACAGATGACCTTCACCAGACCAGCTAATCACAGGCAACTTACTTTTGAAGAAATTGCTAGAAGTGCCAAAGTCACTATAAATGAGGTGAGTTACTCTGTATTTTTCACTATTTCACTTTTAGTTGTACCATGCATTTAGAGCAGTAAGTTGTACCTGGGACATATTGGATGTTACTTTGAAAGACAATAAAGACACTGCTTTCTTTTCTTGTACAGGTGGAGCTGCTAGTGATGAAAGCACTCTCAGTAGGCTTGGTGAAAGGCAGTATTGATGAAGTGGATAAAAAGGTTCACATGACATGGGTTCAACCACGCGTGTTGGATTTACAACAGGTAGCGTCACCTCATGCAGTCTCAGAGGTTTTGTTTTAGAACTATACTAGAAAGTTTTATGGTGGAAATTAGCATAGGTTGTTGGCAGAGTGTTTCATTTGTTTAATCCTCACATTTTAAATGTACACACACACATCAGTTTTAGAATGTAGAAGTTTTACATTTTTTGTAATGAGCAGCAGAAATCACATCTGTCTAGAAATATGCTTTCTCCAGTAATGCAAGGTGTTTTGGAAGTTTTTGTTCCTGTTGGTTTAGAATTAGAAATAAATTTCTCACAGCATCTTCAGTCTGGATTGAATGAATGTTAGAATTTAGAGGTTTTCAGAGTGAACTTTTTGAAGCTGCCTGTATTCCACATCTACTGTCCCCTTATTTGAGGTCTTATACCAGCTATTTTCACCTATAGCTTTCCACTCATGGACCTCATCCTCATCAGTTGCCACATATCATTTTATATGTGGATGATTCAGCCATCCAATGCAGCACCCTAGCCAAAGTTGGGGCACCTAGCTGTTGTAGAGCACTATCAATATTTGAATGCTTCAAAATAAACTACCTAAAACAAGTGTCCTGGTATTTTCAATAAATTTTCAACCCCTTCACTAGGTTGATAAAGGAAAATATATTGAGCAGGTGGAATGTTTCAAATATGTAATGGCTTATATTACCAAAATCTAATTGGGCATGGAAAGGAGTTGGTATGGGTTGGCTCTTTTTGAAATGTGCCCAGCTGGGTTTTGGGTATGGCATCAGCTGGGACTTCAGGGCATGGGTGGAGGTGTGGCAGTTGTCATCTGGGAGTCTCAAGACATTCAGGGGCTCAGCTCCACAAGTGCCTTTACAGCTTGTGCACTGATTCCACAGCTTCTTCACATCAGATCTATTTAGAAAGCTAGGAATTTTCTGATATGGCAATTGTTGTATTTCTGTCTCATTTGTGTCTGTTTCTAATATATGATTGTTGATTTGTTTTCTAGATAAAGGGTATGAAAGACCGTCTGGAGTTCTGGTGCACAGATGTGAAGAACATGGAAATGTTGGTGGAACACCAAGCCCATGATATTCTAACATAGAGGACTTTGCACTGGCTAAAGAAATATCTTGTACTGTTGCTGAAACTGGCAGTGCCCTGACCACTGACTCTGTACTAAATGCTATGAAGGGTGGGGAGGGGCTGGGGGAAACTTTTTTGTCATGCTTGTACAGAGATCTAAGTGGCATTTGCTGCATGACCCTTGGGTGCTTGGAGTCAGGAATTCCTTCCTATGCACTAACATTTGAGTAGTGTATTCCTTGGGAGCATTTGTCCTGTTGTCACCAAAATGGGGTTTGGTAGTCCATAATGGTGAATTTGTCTTGCTGTGAGTTTCCACTGGAGAAGGCTAGGCGCTACATACACTAAAGGGATGCAGGTCATTAGCTCCACAGTAGGATAGCAGCAAGACTTCCATTTTGCACTTATTGTGCAAGAAGGTAAAGCTGTCTTCAACCATTGTCAGGCATTTCTGATGGGTGGAGGAAAGTATGATCTTTTTCCTGGAACTTTCCTGGTAGCTCAAAGATAACAAAACTGGGAACTAACTTTTTCCCATTGCCTCCCCATATTTTGCAATAAAGGAAATTGCTCAGCCCCATTGTGAGTTTTCTCAGAATAAAGTCATAAATTTTGTGGATTTGTTTTTATATTTTTTCTTTGGGTTTTCTCGTCTTTTACAATATTTTATCCTGAAATACAATGCAGTAAAACTACTGCTGGAATAAACGTCTCTGCCATCCCTCTTGTGCATTTCTGTTGATTTTCTTTTACAAGCTAATTTTTGAATTATTTTCAAGAGATCCAAGGTGTTGTTTAATGATAGTTTTAAAAGATTCTGATATTTGTTTACAGATTAACGCTGGTTATTTATAATACAGATGGTTCTCATTTAATGATTTGTTCAGTGACAGTTTTAACAACAGCATTGAAGGAGTGTTATTTATGACTAATCCTCAAAGTTCCAGCTATTGCAGTAACCAAAGTCATTGTCATCTGCAACCTTCTTTGCCAGCTTCCTACAAGCAAAGTCAATGAGAACCAGCAGGTCACAAATGGCAGTAATGTCCTCACTTAATGACATGGGATTCTCTTAACAATGGCAACTAGGAAAAGCTCGAACTGATGTGAATAAGTGATATGGTCATGTGACACCACACTTTAAGAGCAGTTAAGTTGCTTAATGACAAAAATTCCAGTCCCAACTGCTGTTAACTGAGTGCTATCTGTATTTACTTATACTAGCTTAGCCATGGTTTACTCCATGACACTCACATGGCCTTCTGAATTATAAGCCAACTGCACAGACTAGAATTGTACAATGTTAGGCTAGATGTGGGTAGCTAGGTTCAAGATTGGATGTCCTGCAAATAAAAATTATTTTAAATAATATAACTGATGTCAAAAACCATTCTTCATATCGTATTATCTTTCCCTACTAATATAAATTTCAAGATAAGGAGGCCCTACTTTTTCTTCAGCTCTGCCTTCTGTTCCTGGAAAGCTTTTAAAAAATTTGTGTCTGAAATTTGCTTGTCTGAATATTTTTGTAATTAATATAGAGAACACCAATATTTACTTCTATCATGGACAACACTGGTTTTTCTAAATAAAAACTGAAGTTACTGTTGTGAATTTTCAAATTTTAGTTTTAATAATGAAAGCCTTTGGGAATAACAAATATTGACATTTTCTTCTTCGTGACCATGTTCCCAAAGCCTTTTCTTCTCATTTGCTGTAACTGTCCAGATTGCCCATAACCCAACAAATTGGGAAAAAGCCGCCAGCTATAATCACTGTGAATCCAATGGCATTTTCCTGTAAATTAAAAATAAGTGTATTAAGTATGTATTTGCAGCATATGAGAGATAGCAGATGCTCAAGCTAGGGGAGAATTGTGACTAGTTTTATTTTTAGTTTATGAAATCTTACGGACTGTGTGCAAACTTGTATAAATTGCATGTGATTTATAATATAGCAAATATATGGCATATATGATATTCATTGTAATTTTAATAATCCTCAGTTTTCTCAGTAGTTCAAATTCTTGCAGATTCCTTGAGGTAATTTTACCTAGTACAGCCTAGAAATACTTTCAAATTCCATCTATTATGTCATATTTATTTCTTGCAGCAAACAACAAAATGGCAATGTAAATCTCAGGTGTATTGCAGCCTATTTAAAATGTATGCAGCTGGTGCTTAACTAGGGAAATATTCGACAACATGAAAATGCATTCATGTTTGCTGCAAGAAACCATTAAAATTTAGAGTCTTGAAACAAAATAAGAATTCCTGACAATAAGACTCCCCTCTTACCGGTTTCTTATGAAATGAAAAAGATGGGAATGTACAAAAGATTAAAACTGAAAAAGACCACTATCTAGCCTAATCTCATCAAACTCTTTATGAAACAAGCACAAGTGGGCTATTTAATGATTTAAGCAACTAGCTGAAACCTCTTATCCTATTCTTCACTGTGATTTCATCTGTTTCATCTGTCAGGAATACATATTGTTACAACACTGGGCAAGGAGGAAAAGATCGAATGCTTCAAATTGTAAGATGTCCAGTATAAACACTGTCTTACAAGTGACAAGCAATTAAAAGTCTATTATATTACTCGTTTAAATGAATTTCAGGGGGGAAATACTGGTGGTGTTGGTGAGAGGAGAGTTAATCTCTCTTGGCTTCATATTGCGATCTTTAATACAGAGTTAATATAAAATTAGTAAGCAAAGTTAGTGGAAGAGTGCAGACAGGATTTCAGGCTTACATCTGTTGGTTTTCATTAATGCCCCATAAGGCGTTCTGCAACTATACTGCATCCATTAACTATATAGAGGCTGAGGTGAAGGTCCTCTGCCCTAATACAGGAGTCTTCAAACTTGACAGTTTTAAGACGTGTGGACTTCAACTCCCAGAATTCCTCCTCCAAGTCATGTTGACTCATAAAGCTGCCAAGTTTGAAGACCCTTGGCCTAATACTTATTAGGCATTTAAACGACCATTTTTAAATTTCCTTTTAAAAAGAAGACATAAAGGTCCTTGACGCTGTCCTTGGGAGCATTTCCTCTTCCACCACATAGGTTACTCCGTCCGGAAAAAGAGGCACAATATAACACGGCCTCGGAGTCATTAAAATAAAAGCCTCTGACCCCGTGTTTCTTTCGGACGTGGTTCTAGGTGCGATTGAGCCCTTCAGAAACCTGCTCTTGAAGGCGAGCGCTACTGACATTCATGAATCACTGGGAGTTGGGGTGGTGGTGGAGGAAGCTTTTAGGGGGAAAAAAAAGAAACTCTCACCAAGAAGCTGTTCTTTCCTGACTTGGTGGACATCTTTGCCCTTGGGAGGATCTGGCTCCTCACGGTCCCATTCAGCAACCGCAGCCCCTTCTGGAAAGCCAGCATGGCTGCGCCGGTAGCTGCCTCTCGGCCCGCTCACCCTTTGAGGAGAGAGGTGGGGGTGGGGAAACGCGTGGGCGGCCTCCGCCCTTGAACCCGCAGCAGCAGCAGGAGCCGACTGAAACCGCGCCTCGGCCTAGGCTGGGAAGGTTTGCGCAAGGTCGGCAAGGGGCGCTGGGAGGGAAGAGAGCAGCGCCGCTCGCAGGTGCTTCGCTGGGAATGCAGCGGATGTGACGAAAGCGTACGCGCTGCGGGAGCGGAGCAGCTCAGCCGGAAAGGAGGGGCTGGGTCGAAGAGTACGCAAAGTGCGCAGGCGGGGCGGCGCTTTCGGAGGAGAGGCGGGGCGCAGGAAAAGAAAAGAAAAGGTTTCCGGCGTTCTTTCCTATCTCGAATACATCATCAGTCCAGAGAGTGGAAGGCGGAATCCCTAATCAATCCATAACTAATCCATTCCTGAAAACGAGCCTATTCAGATGCCCGGTTTAATGTAATCCTTAGATATCCGTCCTTAAGCTTGGATTTTGGAATTAAGAGTTTAGCCACTCGAGGTTGACTTAGCCTCCGAAGACGAGAAGTGGTGCTTTCCTCTAGGAAAATAAAGGAACGAATTCACTGGAGATCGTCTTAATGTCCTTTCCCGCGGAGAGAAATCAGCACCTGCACAATTGTCTTCTGCATGGGTTTTTCTTCTTCTTTTTCTTACAGGTTATTTAAGACAGGTTGTGCTCATGGCTTAATAAATTGAATATTTGAGTTGTAATGCTCCTTTTTTTGATCAGTCTGTTGGAAAATCCTGAAATTAGAATGATCTGTGTAGCAAACGCCAGGTTTATCCCTCCTCAGACGGCTTTTTCTCCTTCTGACTTAATAGTGGAATAGGATGCAAAGTCCATGTCACTTCAAAGAGAATGTTAATAGCAATATCTTTTTATATTCCCCATAACTTTCATTTGAACACACAAATGACTGTATGAGCTAATCTGATGTGATCTGAACAGCATAAGGATGACTTGATATACCAGTAGGTGCTCCTTCATTTTTGAACTCAAAATTATAAGATGGCTTAGTAGTCCTAGACAGTTTTATTATCTTACCAATTTGCAACCTGATCCACTTCAGTGTAACCATGCAATAATACAGTAAGCAACTTCTAATGCCAGTGAGGGATGATTCATTGAGTTTAGGAAATACTGTACAGAATTTATAGTATTTGCAGAATGTGACATCTTTAGATCTTAACCATTGCCGCTACTCGATTCACCTTCACAATATGTGCTGCTGCTTTCCTGAACCTTGGAACAATCTGTGGTAATATATAACATGTTACTATGTTTGCGGCCTGATTGAGATACAGAGATACATAAACAGAAGAATGTCTTTTGAAGTTGATCTCTTAAAAGCAAAATTTGGAATGTTTAACTCTTATATTTGACTTTTCCCTTTCTTCTTCCCCTCCTAGTTGATCCTATAGAACTGAAATTGTGTGCCAAGGTGGAATTTACCAGCATAGGGGTCATGAGATTAGATGGTCTACTCCAGTGATGGCTAACCTTTTTGTCATCGCATGCTGAAAGTGCTCGCGTGCCTGCACCCATAATGCAATGCGCGTATGATCTCCTGCTGGCACAGGCCCCCCGCACTCTCCCACGCATGCGTGGGCCCCCACGCTCCTTGTTTTGTGCTTAGTAGGCCTCCCTGCACCTCCTGGGAACAAAAGCAGGCCGTGGGGGCCCCCTGACCCCTGCCCTCCAGATGCATCTGCAACCTCCCTGTGCTTCCCCCACCCCCACGCATGTGTATACATCTCCCACATGTGCCCCACAAAGATCTGAAAATCAGTTGGCCAGTGGAAGGCATGTGCTCATGCGTGGTGGAGCTGAACTGGTGCGATGGCTTGCATGCCCGCAGAGAGGACGCATGCCATAAGTTCGCTATCATGGCACCATCTATGAGATATTGCTACCATTGAGTGTTTATTGGATTCATTCTTGGTAGCCGTTATATGTTTTATATATGTTATATATTGCTGTTTTGTATATAACATATATAAAAATATATATCGTATGTTTTAAGTGTATTGTTAATTGCCCAGAGTTACATTTGCAAAATGGATGATCATATGAATCAATTTAATCGTCCAATCAACGCTACTTCTGTAATAGCATAGCTATATTTCTATATATCTTCAAGGTGTATGTAGCATACAGACCCTGATGGAAGTGGAGGCTGCATTACACACAAGAGTTTTAAGGTAACCAGATATATTAGTGTGAATTTGACGTATTGTGTGCTAGATTCCCTTTAATATTTGATTACTTTTTAGCAGCTGGTTAAAATTTAACTCATATCTTATGAGTTATTTCACTTGTTGATAGGGACACAGACTCATTTTCTGCATCATAATGAAATTTATTATATTTCTTTTCCGAGCAATAAAATACATCACAAGAAGCATGTTGTAATACAGTAGGAAATCATTCAATGGGAAGATTGGAGAATTCAAATAAGTGCAAGATAATTTTAGTGAAAAAGAATAAAAGACTTGTCTCTATGGCATCGTCTCCAAGCATTTCCAGATCACCAGCTTTTCCGTGTCCTAGCTCTTCTGAGTCCACAGCACCCCACCACAAGATTTTATTTTTGTTTATTATCCCATATTTATTATTATTTTTTATAAATAACGCAAGCTGGTCTTGAGTTATCTAATACTCCTTCCTCCTATTTTCCCCACAACAACAACCCTGTGAGGTGAGTTGGGCTGAAAGAATGACTGGCCCACATAGCTGATTTTCATGCCTAAGCGGGACTACAACTCTTGGTTTCCATCCTGGTACTTTAACCATTAGCTAAATTGGCTTACTGATTAATTGTTTTAACTCTATATATAGTCCTGTTCCCTTCTTTGCATCTGCACTCATGCTAGAAAGAGAAGAGAAGAGAAATTGCCCAATCATTACCCAGGATGAAAAAAATATTTCTTTCCTTCAATAGAGAGCAAGCCAGCCTAAGAGAAAGTGCTTTGAAATAGCCCCATCTATAAAAAGAGGATTGCAGGGAGTGCTGTTGCTAAGCAGTGTGGTCATGCTTTATGACCATATTACTCAGTGACAGAAATTCCAGCCCCAAATGCTGTTGTCAGTGAAGAACTACCTATACATGTATTGCCACGAGGCGAGCCCCCTCCCATCCTAGCCATCAAACAATGAACAATATTTAGAAAAAGAAAGCTCAAACTGCCCAAAGAGCTTCTGATTCAGTTCAGCAGAGGAAATATTGAATCTGTCATCTGTACCTCTATAACTGTCTGGTTTGGCTCTGCAACCAAACAAGACAGACACGAGCTTCAACAGATAATTAGGACTGCAGAAAAAACAACCTGCCTTTCAGTTGAGGACCTGTTTTATGCATGAGTCAAAAATGGGGCTGTGAAAATATCTACAGACCCCTCACATCCTGGATATAAATTGTTTCAACTTCTACCCTCAAAATGATGCTATAGGGCACTGCACACCAGAACAACTAGACACATGGACAGTTTTTTCCCCAAACGCCATCATTCTGCTAAACAACTAATTCCCAAAACACTGTCAAATTATTTACTATAGGTAGTCCTCGACTGACAACGGCAGTTGGGAGCAGAAATTATGTCACTGAGTGGTATCATAAAACGTGACCACATTGCTTAACAATAGCAATCCTTGTAGTCCCAGCTGCCATCATTAACTGATTCCTAAGATCAAGCTACTTCCTGCCAGCTTCCCGTAACCAAAGTCAGTGCGGAATTCAGCAAGAAGATAAAAGTCCCAAGTTGTAAGGGATGTAATAAAGAGGGTGCTGCAGTATAAGGTTTAATGTTACACACATGCATGAGAGGAATGTTCACAAAAATATACAGAATGAGGATATCCAAACGTGAATGTTAGGATTTCATGACATTCCTATGTAGTAGAACAAAGAAACAGAATAATGCAAACATTAGGAATTTCTCAGTAGCTATTTATTTTCAACTAATGTATAATAAGCTCCATCCTCCAAATAGTTTTTTCATTTCAGATACCTTTAATTCCCAAATAAAGGGAATTATTTATAAATATTTGTATTTATAAATACGTATGCAATTGTTTGGATAGCCACTTTTTTAGTCTTTTTTTCAGGAACAGAATTCAGGAGGATATTCATGTGCTAATATGTTCATTTAGCAAGTCAGAGTCAAACTATTCCGAATATACTGATATTTCAACTATTGAGGTCTAATTTTCATGTCCACATATTTGTAAGAATAATGGTGACCCTTCCCAGCACTCCAATTGATGCCATCAGCATAAGAGCTATGTTCCCCTTTGTGATATAGGCCATTCAGGTTGGAAGAGTGGCAGGCGCCATACCACCAACCTCCCTTGTAAGCTGCAGCACAACTTGCAGGTTCATAGGTATCGTTGTCTTTGTCTTTTGTAGAGAATGCCAGGCCTTTATGTCCTGAGAAAGAATCCCCTGAGTGAAGATAATCAGAGGAGAAAGTCAGTGATTTACTGTATTGTTGCTTTCAGTCACAGTGCTATAACAGTGAAAAATGCACATTCTCTGCTAGGAAGAATTCAGCAGGAAATCAAAAATAATAGAATCCGTAACTTATATGCAGAAATTCCCAACTCAGTTTATCACATTACCAGGTAGGAATTCCTTATACTATTGTTTGCTTAACCATGGTTTATTAAATAAACCCTAATTAATGAATCATGTCACATGCCAAGCTATAAACAATGGTTTACAAACACAGCTAGACTTCATAATATCATGACTAAAAACCAACTGACATAGAACAATTTAATAAGTTTACCACACACTATTATCTCCCTCCCTCTCTCTCTCCCTCCCTCCCTCTCCCTCTCCCACCCACCCCCTCACCCCAGAAAGCAGGCACAGGCAAGCCACTTCTGAAATCTTTCCCAAAAATTTCAGGGACTTGTCCACATGGATGCCAGGAGTCCAAATGGGTTCATTAGCATAAAGTTCTTTGGTTCTTTGGGCCAACCTAAACAGTAAGGAAGGAATTGTTCATTTGGAGCAGGGGTATCAAACTGCCGGCCTGTGGGCCAGATGCCTCACATGCAGATCAAGCCCACCCCAGCTACGCGAAGGGGAAAACCATCATGAAACATCATATGATGGCAACATGACACTACGAGTTTGACATCCATGATCTGGACCATCTCCTGTCATA